TTCAGTCAATGCCATTGACAGTGTGATTAACCCACGAGCACTTTGCAGAAGCTTGGCCAGCAATGTACTTTCACCAACTGAAGCAATATGCCAGAGTCGCATATCCAGCATTCTGGAGCTGTGCTACTTTAACACCTACACGCATGATTTTCAGGCTTGGTCACATGGATGCATACACTCCGTTGCGTCGTACATGTGTTTTGCTATGGCTTGATGTCATACAGAGGACTTCATCCCGGTAGTCTCGCGGAGAAGAACAGTGATAGGCGCGCTTTGATATGCATGTTGTCTGGCGCGGGAAATCCGCAGTTTTCTAGTATGCTAGTGCAGTATTTTTATGTCTGTTCGGAAAAGTCGCTTGTGAGTAGTCTGCGTGTAATCTTGGTAAATAGGATGCACGCTATAGTTGGGAAAAGATAATACTGCCTCAACCTGATGAAATACAGGAGGACCATCTCAAAATACCTCACTATTTTAGGTGAACTAGATCACCCTAGTTTTGCATTGTAACCGTTGATCCTAAGAGTCCTCCGTCGCCAATCACCGGAAATACAACCAGTGGCAATCCGGTGGATGTTTGCCTATTCATCTATCTTCCGTATTTGGCCTGCTGTACACGTTGAGCTACTGCAAACACTGAAACAGTTAAGGTACTAGATGTCGTCTGTAGGTGAAAACCCTTTTAGATCTACTCTTATTTTCAAAAAGGGCTTTTCTAGTAATGAAATTCGAATCCGGTTACAGATAGAGAGAAACCCCAAGTCGTTTTAACCGCGGACATTGGTATTTGCAAGAAATGAAGACATCATTGGAGTTTTGAGTGCGTAACAGGTGCCAGGGAGTCGAAAGACGCAAATACAAAGTGTCCTCAATAGGCGGTGAGATAGTCAGGGTTGAGTCGTGATAGACAGTCACACATCAACCATATTGTGCGTGCGGGGGTTCAGGTCGTTACGATAACTACGGGGGCAAAATAGGGTAATATTACCACAGAGTTTTATTGGTTCTGACTAGCACATATGTTCAGCAATGGAGCAGGTGACCGGGAAGTTTAGTTTCATATTGCTTGTGATGCCTATAAATCCAGCGGTCGAACAACATCGTTTCCCCATCAACTCCAGGCCAACGTGGTGTTGTGGTGGCGATACACAGATATACACAGATACACAGATATAACCGGAAAGTCCGGTGTAACCGATGACACAATATAGTGACACGATGCATGCAACAAGAGCTGATATTTCGGGCGAAAAAGTGTGAAAGCAATTATGTTTAGGCAAGGCGTTAAAATTTCGATAAAAGTTGTCATGATCGACCATGAACACGGGACTAATAGGTGACAGTACAACACGTATTGTCCTCCTTTTTCACTTAGTCTTAACTAAGTTACCCGTATCTATAGATTGCCCAAGCTGAGCCACTCTGATAACTTCAATAATAACTCCTCATTGCCTCTCGAAGAAATATCTTCTAACACATCCTGATGGTATGCATTTCCACGATGCCGCTTCTGTTGTAATCTTCCATGTGACTACTGAGGTCTGATCCCCTTATGACTCAGCCCTTCAACCCACCCAGAGAAGCACCTGGCCGTCAAAGTTTTAGCCCTAATTTCCCCGCTCATTCGGGCCGGTAAACGGAGCACCGTGATATCAGACTCATTGGTACTACTCGCCATCATTTCCCTAGTTCACAGCTCGACAAGCAACTTTGTGCCCCACGTCCTCAGGGGAATCCCAGACCCGAAAAGATTTGGATAAACTCGGAGCCCGCTTACAGAGGTTATACCATGAACCAGATTTCATCCACACCTCACATGCCACCACATGCCTTCTACATTCCGATGTGGCGTGTGACCCATCAACTCTTGAAAGTTCACCAGTCTCTGCTGACACGTTTGCCTCTAACACTCATCGGCACCTGTAATACTATTCTAAGATACAGGTGGCGGGTTCTCATTTCAGCACAAAAAACGCTACTCGGACCGGGATCCCGAAAATAAAAACAATCCATGCTTTGTAGGATATAAATGCGCCTGAAGGGCGAAAACGATAACCTTGCCCTACAAACATCTTAGGCTCTCCTCTCTTTTACCAAGCAATCCGAACAATAAAGATCAGTTTCCTCACTTGACCGCAAAAGCAGATCACTGAAAAGACTCTTCCAAACGTGAACGCTAGTTACTCAAAGTTACTGAGTAGAAGCTTTGCTCTCCTCAGGGAAACCCGACCAATTCTTCCGACCCAGCTTTCTCCTGGTTTTCCACTAAGGCCTCCACCATTTCACACTCCCGCGAGCCAAAACACCGTTAAGCGCACATAACAATTGCAACCCAGGAACACAGTTCAACTGCACCCCAATGTCTACCAGAAAAACTGACCATTTACGCTATCACATCTAACTATATCGGGACCTCAGTCGCCTGTGTCAACGCCAGAGTTGCCTTGATGTCCCAAACTCTTTGATATGAAACCCCATTAGAAAAAAAGCGAATAACATAACGAGGAACTGTTCATTGAATGCGAACTGGCCTGCGTCGGTCGGATCATCGCTGAGAGAGGTCCATTCTGCACAAACGAGGATCAAAAAAGCATCATCATTCCACACAACCACGCTTGCGACCCTACAAATTCAATGACAGCGCACCTAAGCACAAGGTACGGGAGTGCATTTCCATCGTCATTGTCGTCATCAGCTTCTTGCTTTCGCCTACACTGGCCCCTGTAGGACTGGATTAATAATGAAAGACTTCAGTAGCTGTTTTTTAAGGGTCAATCCAGCTGGCACTGTGGCTCCTTCATTTAAGAAAGCCCTCGAAGTTACCCGATAGATCAGCGGTCGGGGCCTGAAAGTTTCGTAGTGTGGCCAAACCACAGCTTTGTTATTGTTCCTGTCTAGGCTTGAACAGCCTGGCCGTACATCAACCCTTGTGATTTCTCCGGCATGCATGGCAGGTCTGCACCGAACGCGTGCCATAGCTGAAAGGTTTTTACTTCCTCGGAATAGTCCACATAGCCTCACGGACATCTTCATGAGGTGAGGTTCCAAAACTTAACTGTGCACCTTACACATGAAAAATCTGTGTAACCTAACCACTTAGAAAACATAACCGGTAGGCATACGGTTGTCCGGAAAAAAATCCTGCACAGTACCGGAACATAAAAATAACCATCTGAACAGTTCTTTATCCTGGTTTCTATGAAGAATTATTTCACCTTGATGACACTCAGAATCGTCTTTGTTAGAATCTGGCTTCACAAAGACATCTCCATGCAACCGCACTTGGGTGGGACCACTTAGCTACTGAGGAGAATGCTGATAGCTCAAGTAGTTAATTTGTTCACTAAGCTAGGCAATTTAGTGGCAAACGTCTCATCACCAATCGAGATAACAGTACAAGTTCCGTCCTGAAAAGCGCAACGCAGCGAAGTCCGTGGTTATGCTGACTCACCGCGCCTTAAAAACGAGTTGGTCACCTCGGGTGGTGATTAAAAAATTGCAACTAAACTGCCTAGGTCAGCAAAAACACGGCCGACGATGAGACTACTGTACTTACATCCCTATCAATGGAATTTGGTTTGACCGTAGTTCCAGCAGGAGCAGGGCCCGACAGAAACTCTCCCGACGCCAAGTTGTGAGATCCCGTGGCATCCCTCTGGAAAGACCGTTCGTAAAACTCCAGAATTATTCGCTGCGGTGAAATTCTTTTGAAAGGGATCAGGGCTAAAACGTTTCCCCTCCACTTCCTGGCTATATATATATATATCGGCTTTTGACGTGGATGGACCCGAATAAAACTCCTAGCTGCTTGTAGCAGACGGATTAACATCCCAAAGCTCGTACCCAGATAGTCTCTGTTGAAGCTTCCGCCCAGAGACTGGCACAGCGAAGCTCAAGGATGTGGACATTCGAAAAATCGGACAACTCTCCCGTCACACAAGTCTGAAAATCAACACTGAACGCAGGAATTACGAATTTACCATTAGATACAACTCAGGCTATTTATAAGTTTGGCCATAATCTATGGTGGTATTCAATAGACTAACATGTGCAAATTTGACCTGATTCATTATTAGTTGGCTGGAGGGAAGAACTATCGTCCCGCAATTTAATGTGCTACCTTAACACAGAACGAATGGAGCTTGGTCGTCCCGTTCGAAGATATAAAGGGTTATCGCACACTGCTCGGTAAGCAGCTGACTGGGTCCAACAACTATCGAGAACACCTATATGCTGCCATTATCTACAACCCTTAAAATTTGGCAGCAAATGGCATCCGATTTTCGTGAGAACACGCCACAATCTTGTCTCCTCTCTTTGATTTCAACCATCACAATTCGTTTTTTGCAGTCATCGCCTGCATGACCGAATATACCAAACACAGGGCTGAAAGTGAGCCTTGTTGAACCAACCAATTATTCATCTAGTAGAGTAGTACAACACAGTCCCCGCAATTGCCACTGCAGATTATGGGGTTTGACCAGAACGTTACACAATCATAGAAGTGTTGAGCACAGGTAAGTTAAAGGTTACCATGGCGACAGAGTTTACAGCGGGTGCAGCCCAATATTACCGGCCGCGGATGGCAAACATGCATCAACACATGGGATCTTCGATTCGCTGAATATAGGCCTTTAGAACGAGCTTGCTGAGCGTGTATTTTCGTGCTTCTTCACCAGACACCGATGTCGCAAACAAAAATCCATTAGTTCCGAGGCTTAGCTATAAGAAACTGCATCCGTAAGGGAAGTGTTTTTGACAGTGATTATTTCTTCTGATTTTTGAAGGACGGAAGGAATATCCTACGCACACCACGGTCATACTTACCCTCGAACCAAGAACATGAGTTGTATTCGTCTGGTGTACAGCTGTTCATGAAACCTACCAGTACAAATAGAACAGACTGACCAAACTGGCATCAGACAAATGCAAACAATTATCACTGCCAACACGGGGCACTACGAAACCGACCACAGGTACCAAAAGACTGTGAAGTGGTATTAGGAAGCAAGTCATCTAGGACATGAATTCTCAATGGTCAATAAAATAGAATAAAATCGTATTTACAATAGGAAAATACGTAGGGTCTCATCGCTGGTACTCAGGTGTCTCTTTGACGAGCATTTGTCTCCCAATGAAAGGCTTTTCCGGAGAGGTGAGGGGAAACAGAGGACAGCGTTCAGTTGGATTTTCATCTGGGTTCTAAGATATGGGGAAAAGAGACCAAGTTCACCGTATGAGGACGGCCTTTAATCACCAAATGGGTAATAACTCAGTAATGACTTCCACTAACTGCTAGTACCACTTCGCTGTAGACTTCTGGTGGTGTATGTAAGGTGTTTGGTCAGACAGAGGCATTTCTCAATAATATGTACCAAAACAAAAGCGTTCCGGTGCTGCCTACTTTCGGTGAACAGCTCTAACTCAGCTCACAGTAAGCTTGACGACAGCAACAGAGACCAACTGGTAGAATAAGACACAACTGAGGGGTGAATTCACATCACGGGGACCAAACCCCTAAAGTGAGCATTATTTAGAACGAACTCTTGTCTTCACATTGTTAGAGGGTCGGTCTTCTGGGGGGGTGGGCACGAATAAGCCCAATACCCTGCTCTCCTAAGACGGCAAGTTTTAGTGGGATCACCGTATTTGGTTGTTTTATTAATTCCTCTATGGCCTTGAGCGATGCAACGAATAGAACAGACAAGAAAACAACCTAACCACCGCAACGCTACACTACACAGCATAACTGTAGTTAATCTGTTTCTCGTTAATTGGTGTGCTAACCACTCTGTTTACCTCTACATTCTATAGTTATTAAAACGATTAAATGCCTCTGCACATCGTTCTTGTCTCTGTTCAGAATTCCGAAAGAACAAGCAACACAGTCTTGGATGACGGACACAAGCCAAATTATCCAACATTCACAACAGAAACCCTTAATACACACAGGAAGCTGACAACAACGCCATATTGGAAACGGAACAAGACGGACAGCGGTAAAAAAAAGAAACTGACCTGCTGCTTCGACAATCTGTGTCGGGTATTTTGTGACTTAATCAGCTGAACTATGAATGACTCAGTACATTTTAAATCGAACACAATACAGTGGGAGACACCGAAAGTGCTGTCAGCGAGGTTTCTCTTTGGAAGGGACGGCTGCTCTGAGTCACCTATACCCCCTACACAGCCCTAAATAAACATGAAGAGCTTTGATGCTTCAACCAGAATGAGATATCTAGCGATCCGACACAAGCAAGTCGTCCTATAAATAATCCCACATATGGAGAACATCCTATTACAACGACTACTTACGGATACCCCGTTTTTTATTGAAATAGTTGGGGGCATTCCTCAAGGACAATTTCCAGCCACGGAGTGGGAAGTTTTATCTCAGCGAAACGGAGCAGGTGGATAATTAGTAGCATGTTCGAGTGATTTCAGTTTGCTTCGCTGATAGTGCTATGCATGCGTGCATTCATTACGTGCAGTTCATGAGTGCATACTCGGAGTGGAAATCGGATCGTGATAACGTCACATCCAACATCTCTTAACTGCCAATCCGTTAACTTGGAAATGACTGGTCGGATTACCAGTTCCATCGTCTCGGCTGTAAACCATTATTGGCAGACAGCTTACACCGGTTTACGAGGCGTACATAACTCCCATTTAGTAGCTGAAGCCTGTCTTGAGAGTGAGGAAATTCATAATGACAATGTGATAAATATACACAATCAAATGCCGTTCCGTCGCATCGTTAGCACCATCCCACTCCAAACTCTCCGGATGTAAGCAAAGATGAACCGGGTTTGCGTATATAAGTGTGGAAAAGAAAATTTCGAGTGTGCGACAGGGAGTGATAAGAACAAGATGAAGGCACATAGAAGTAGTACCAAACAATTGAGTGGCAAATGTTCCAGCTGTCTGTCGAAGCCATACACTAGCACATTACAAGTGTGAATTGATAACTGAGTGCAACTTCCACGAACAGCCGAAGCAACCATGGTCCAGTGGTTTGAAACCTCAGACAGTTGCAGGCACATCCAGGCATATCAATTCGTAAATCATGAGAGCGGTTAGTCGCCATAACAATTTTACACTGCCTGTTTCGCCATTGGCTGCTTCCTAAAATGAGACCAGTTGTCATCCGTTAGTTGAGTCCGAGTCGCTATGACCTTAGCATTCGCTAGTAACGCGTCGGAAGGAAGTGAGTGTAAGCTGTGAGATAACTAGGTGGACTTGTATATCCACGCAGATAGGCTCAAACAGTTGATTATTTCGCGGTACAGTACGTGTGGAGCGCAATAAAACAGGGTTTCGATTTCACAGGAAAACAACGTGGATTTCCTTCAGGTGGGTGAAACTAGCAACACATGAGTCCTAAGCATCAATATGGAACCTAACGAAGTAGAAATTCTAAGATGGCATAAAAGCTCATAAGACCCTGCTAATGAGATCACCCGTTGCTTTTCGTCCCCTCAACTTAGTTGCTAGAATTCCAGCTGAATCGGTTGGGAAGCATGAGCTTAAGTAACCCTTGTCCTCAATGATTAATGCGTAACCCGTAAAGTAAGATCGTGGGACAATACTGAGTAGTACCTCTGGGAAAAGTGATGTCTGCAAGAAAGTTAAAGCCATTTGTATGGTCGTTGGAGTTGACCGAAAGAACCATATCATAATTTCCCATATTCAGTACTGTGTTCCCTTCGTCACGACAAAATACCTCGATCCACCAACTATACGAGAAGTCCGTCAGGATAAGCAGATATCTGCAGGTGCAGAGCTCATGAGGATACCGCTGCAAAATTTATTTTCAGAGGTTTCCTTTAAAAATTAAGCAAGGTTTCGTAGTCTTGCAAGTACATTGTTAGGTTTTCCTGGTAAGGGAGTGTTAGTGATATTGTATTGCTGAACTATTGAAATGGATTGCTATATTGTTAAACTGTTGGAATCAGCTGTAGAAGGGAATGTCAGTCACTTGTCAGAATTTATAATTTACCAGGATCTTTGACACAGTAAGGAAATGACTCACAAACATGGGTAAGAAAAGCTACTTTGTTCTAGTTCGGCAGATGAGCTTCTAAGAGGATCAACCATTAAGTGTTCGAAGCGGTGTTTAAAGGTGGTGAGTATGGCTATGTAGTAGCTGCTAGAATTCACCAAGATGGTCAGAACCAGTGAAAAGCGATTTCGAGTCAGCACAAACAACCAGAGCTTAAAACTGCCCGAAACGTCTGAGTTCATACTGAGTAGGTATCCATTCTGCTTTAAAAAATAGATGCATCATAATGCAGAATGAACGGTAGCGTGCTTTTGTCCATTATTTAAGTTCACTTTAAAACAACGTATACAGCGCGTATAACTTTGCAAATATCACCTTGTTTCAGGCTCGACATTCAACCCTCATTTCAGTGGTAGAACAGCACTAATTATTCAGAAATCCAATTGAGCTAGTTCTATCGACCGACAATAAGCAAAACAGTCACAAAAAGCTGACATGTGATGTAACCCTGTCGAGTGATTATTTCACTGACGCTCTGAATTCGAGTCACTTCTGATCTCGAGTTGAATTGCAATGCTAAGTGGAGTCATCAGGTTGGTAGTAACATATAGAGCAAAGGAGTGGGCTTCGGTCACCAGTCACTGTTGTTATTGAATGAATTCTCGGTCTTCAAAATGTTGCTAAATAAATAAATGTTCCGAAATGAGATAGTTGCGACTTTAAAAACTGATAGTTCGTCAGTTCTGTAAAGTCAAACCTAATAGTTTGCCACCACTGTTCGGTTCATGCCGGTTACCTCGTAATGTACTACGAGTAAAGCATCTTTAAGCTAAACTGCACTAGATTCAACTGCTGGTCTGTTTAGTTGCACTTCTTAGTTTGTTAATCAGAGCCGTGGTTCGTAAGAAAGTTGCATGAGGATTACAAGATATAAAACCCAAACCGATCGACTGTAGATACGGATTGCCGCATATGTTCAGATTACGCAAGATATAATTCACTAACCACTGAAGAGGAATTGACCGTGAGTGTATTCGCCTACAGGGAGATTTAGTTGCAAGCATTAAACCATAGTCGAGGTGGGAACCACCCATGATGAAAGCTTTACAACCAAAGTGCCCATCCCGGCGAACAAACCACAGAACAGTCACAGGCCAGTTTCCCATATCTTATTGTAGTCAATCAACTGAAAATAGCCACACAAACAAGTATCCAGTTAATCAGAAACCAGAACCACTGAGATCAATTGTCCGAACACGGTAATGTTAGACAGAGTCATGTGATCAGTAGCTAAGCCGCAAACGATGAAGTGGATGACTCAACGAAGCTGGTGATTGCGATAGTCCTCTTGCACGTTACAGTTGAGATTGGCCAACTGGTTGAAATAAACAAATCCATTGCTGACAGTGATAAGCTTAGAAGCGTCTTTTGATTAATAATACTTAGAATTGGTATTTCAGGATGTATCAAATATCCTCCCCCTTTGCATCAAGAAGCATCCGTGTTGGAAAACAGTGGCGCACCAGCTTGCAATCACTAGCAGTTACTTCAAAAACGCGCTACCATGAACAGGGATAAAAGAAGGAGAGGGAGTACCATAAGGTGTCTAAGCTAAATTAGTCGGAAACCGATGGCAGGAATGGCGCCGATAGCAATCGTCTTACTATGCACTCACAAACTAACGCCGTCCTTCATATCAGCAGCAGGTGACCCGTCTTCGTCACTTGCCTATCGTTTTATCAGTATTTCTTGCCTCCTTTTGTTCTGCACCACAATGAAATTGGCATAAAAAACAAACCAATGTTGTTTCCAATAGCTGCTCCTACGCAGCACCCAACCCAAGTTGTGTTCAAAGCACATAGAAGAAACCGCTTACTACGTCATCCACTTCAAGATGCAAACAGGAAACGATATGAACTGTCAAGACACTTAGATCTTCCCTAGAAGTCTTTCGTGTTTACCCCAATACCAAAAACACCAATCTCTCCGTTCGTATCTTACGTTCCGTAACTGAAGAGAGTGTGGATGAAGACAAATAGCGTAGGTGAACGTTATCGTATGGCTGTTCTAATGTCCTTTAAAATGCTTTAGTTTTGACGGACGTGAAGTTTAATAAAGTAGTGTGCGAGCCAGCAGAATTAATCAAACAAACAAAGACGACACAGCCGCTGAAACCACAGATTAGATACACCAATCCAACTGGCAGTTGCACGTTGCAAAGCCTTCTACTACAATACATCCTAGCGAATAGCCCATTTGGTCAACTTCTAAAGGTAAGTAGAAGTCACCCACGTACCGTTGTTACTTGATCTATCGGATCTTCAAAGAATTCCAGCGGTGGTTTCGGGGAGTTTCTTTGAACAGGTGGGCGTCGGCCGCCTTTAGGGAAGAAACTCCGTGCAGAAAGACTGAAATCTGGAGTAATCTGTTACAGTGTCACGAGCAAAAAAGAAGACATACCCAGGTACACTTTTCCTCGGTCGATGCGGTTTTCACAGCAGGATATTGATCGGAGGAAGCCACACGTACCGCTTCACTCAACGGTTTGGAAAAAGGTGGGTGTAAAAATGTCAGCGGAGGATGTAGAAGCTTCTTTTTACCACGAGGCATGAAATGACCAGGTTCTTCAACATCAAATGCCTGAGAACAGCAAAAAGTAATATATCAGTCAAAACATATAAAATAGTGAATGCGACTGGGAAAGATGAGTTCAACTTTGCTGCTGGAAAAGTAATGAACAATGATTTTGGCTTTTACATTGGCAATTGCATTGGAAAACCTTTCCTTCGACTGCGAAAGGCCCGTATAGAGTCACCTTATTCGTTGTAGATTAAAACAACCGTCGAAAAGTAGATTAGTAAGATCACAGTAATAGTAGTACACCGACAACCATAAATAACGGCTAACCAGAAGAGTTCGAGAGAGTGACCCCTTCGGTTAAAATTTCAGGAGACATGTTTCACAGCGACTGATTCTTGTAACAGAACAAGCTGGTTTCGCGGAGAGCCAAGAACACGGACAACCGCACATGAACGGCCTCAGAGGCGAGATCCGCGGAGGTTGAGACTTAGATGTGATTCAAGTGACGGATGCCAGCAGCGCGATGACGTCTGAGAAATACACTCGAACACTTCTGAGACCGACGGTGGCTCTACATTCACAGTCCACCTTTCTGTTGAAGGCCAGGATTCCGGATTGGAGGTAGCAAGCGCCCAACTGAATTTCCGGTTGAAGTACTGTGTCCAGCGGTCCGATTGTTCTCCTTTGCTAGATATCGGGAAGCCATTTTTATCCCTGATAAGATGAACAGAGACTTCTGAGGAACAGTCGGACGAATCAAATGGAACAACTTGCGTACGTCCCCAGCATTTTTGGCTCTTCTATCTCTTTGGCCTTTCGGTTCCATCAAGCTTCTTGGTCTGCACAAACACCCAGTTTTACCTGGCGTCGGATGATGCGTCAGGTGGAGTTGTGGTTGCGGCTAGGGGGATCTGTCGCTGGGCCTCTAATAGAGACATCGCCCTATCAAAGATCCGATGTTTGGATGAGATTGGCTGAGTAGCGCTCAGAGAAACCTTCTCCCAATGGCCATTTATATCCGACATCGGACCGTCCCGTAGGTGTTTGAGAAGCTGGTTCTGAAAGTTTTATTTGACCTCTCGGTACCCTAGATTCTCAGTGGCTAAACGCGGTGTGCGCTTTTTGAAAAACGCAGTGAAAAGCGGCAGTGTACAAATACATGATCGGAGTCCACGCTGGTGTTCCAGAAAAGCGGTAAGCAGTGATCGACCTTCGCTATCAATAAATAATAAATATTGGTTCAGCTGTAGCACCCTTTCGGTGCCAGGCTGCCATGCCACCCGCAGGAAGCACGAGGGCTGGGATACTGCCAGGTTGCCCACGCATAGACAGGGGAAGTCGAGAGGCAGAGGTCGGGTTCGAACCATGGACCTTCCGGCCAGTGAATTCGCTCTCTAACCACTTGGGCTATCTCGCCACCAATAATCGACGACGATGTGGATTCGGGGCTGGTCAGTTGGTGGGCACCACGTTCTCAGCCGATTTTCGCTGTTCCGTAAGTTGGTGCTGCAAAGGAAGAAACTGTGATTGGCAAACATCTGAACAGGCGATCTCCGTTGCCTGTGCTTCTTGTGTCCAATCCAAGACGACCGCCCAACCGGGCTACAGCATCGCTTGGTTTATCTAGCTAGGCATTGATGTCACCATTAGCCACAACGATTCCCGAGCCTCTAGCCCACTGCAAAAAGGCACTTAGAGTGTCATAAAAACTGTCTTTGGCTTATTCCGAGCTATAGTCAGTTAGGGCGTAAGCACAAACAACAAACAGGTTGCGATGAACCTCACTTCTAGATTCTCCCACACACGTAGGCAAACGAACAGCGCAGAGGAGACTATCAACGAGCATCCAAGCAAGTACAGATGTTTCTGCTCCGTCCCTCAACACAATATCTACCCCACCGTATCCAGCTGCAGAGGCCTCTGAATCACCAGAGGTGCGCAGCCGGAACCTAGGAGAGAGAAGCGGGTCAGTTCGATCACACTACTTGCGTCCTGTTTCCTTAAGGAAACAATTGTTCTTCACAGACAGTATACATCAATCCAGAGGAAATCCAGTGTACGAACAAGAGCCACTTGTTGTCCTGCTCGCTTCAGTGTGTGAACATTAAAGGCACGAATTTACTGCCCGGGAGATCCGTGGTCCGAATCCGACTTCTGCTTCTTGACTTTCTCTGTCTAGGCTTGGGCAACCTGGCAGTATCCCAGCCCTCATGCTTCCTTCTTGTGGCATAGTAGCCAGTCACTGACAGGGTACTACGGCCGAAAGATTTAAAGAGCAGTACCAGTAAAATTCAGCAGAGTACTCCCGAATCAAGGTTCACAAACTTACGTAGCATTCCTTGAGAGCAGACAGGTCAACCAAGTAAATGTACCTTGAAAATCGGGGCGAGATGGTTCAAGTAGTTAGAGCGCAAATTTACTGATTGGAACGTCCGTGGTTCGAATCCGACTTCTGTCTCTCAACTTCCCCTGTCTAGGCTTGGACAACCTGGCAGTATCCCATCCCTTGTGCAACCTTCGGGTGGCATGCCAGCTAGGCACCGAAAGGGTGCTACAGCTGAACGGTTTACCTTGAAAATCCAGGAATGCTAAAATCGTGGGCATTTTGTACGTACGACGTTCTAGGACCTGCCAGGGTCAATCAATCAATCAATTCTTCAGCTATTAACCGTGTGCCGTAGGCACATCGCTGCCAGCCGCTACCGTTTCGATAGGAAGTGATGGAAAAGGGAACATACAAGCAATCCTTGGAGGCGAAGGCACGTTTCGTTTTCGAGAAATACGCTCATTTGCAAATCAATTTGGTTTTCACGACAGACTCAACTGAATCTCTCGTTTATGATGTTCTACAACTGAATGTGCCTCATGTCTCAGTTGGCACGACATTCGAGATATCGCAGTATATTTTCATGAAGGAAACTACTCACAAGGTTGTTGAAAACTCTTCGGCATGTTTCGTTTGTTCATAAATTGGGTAGCTGCGCATTGAAGGCGACAGATTTGATGCACGAGCGCCACGGACAGCGTGACTGAGCAATTTCCGCCAACGTCATTAACCACTGGTGATTTGAGTCCCGGGATCACCATCCAGGAAGGCCCACCCGACTAAGTTTACTGGTTAGTGTTTTCGTACGTCGCTGCCAGGTCCGCCTCTCGGTCGCTTCTACTCAGCACAGGGCTCGGAGAAAAGAGCTCTGCGAGGTAGACAGTCTTCTGGCATGCGTGTTGGGGATATCAATATCGGTCGCTGCCACGCCTCTCGGTCGCTTCTACTCAGCACAGGGCTCGGAGAAAAGAGCTCTGCGAGGTAGACAGTCTTCTGGCATGCGTGTTTGTTGGGTCAATAT